CTCTCTGACAATAACAGCTAGTTTTCAGTTTACCCCTCCCCACTCCTAGACAGTCCTAGCTAAATTTTTGCTTGAGAAATTATTATTTTCTAAGAAGCTATTTTTGTTTGTTTTAAATTCAAATGGTAAACAATTATCACAGTAAGTTAATTAATTGTTACCCAGAAATGATTTGATATTTTTTTAACCTTTAAGCTCCCATTCATTATCTATAGTTCCTTTTTTATATCTGGAAGTCAGGTCTATTACAGAAAAGCTCAATCTATAGTACATTATTTATCTCTCACCTTCTCTCTCGTCATTCATTCATCGTATGACAACTCAGTGAAGTAGCTAAATGGCCAATTTTGCATAAAAAAATCAGAAGTATTTATTTGAAGCTGAGCCTCTCTTTAGGAAGAACACTCAAGGAGAGTGATATTCCACAGATGTTTCTGCCATTTATTATTTTGAGGATCTCTTCGGCTGCAACACCCCTCATCAGCTACTACAATAAACTACCAAAGGGAGAAAAAAAAACATTGAGGCACTTTGCATGTGTGTATGGACCATATACATTTACATTTTAGCAGACGCTCTTATCCAGAGCAACTTACAGTTAGTGAATACATATTTTTTTATACTGGCCCCCCGTGGGAATCGAACCCACAACCCTGGTGTTGCAAACGCCATGCTCTATCAACTGAGCTACATCCCTGCCGGCCATTCCCTCCCTTACCCTGGACAAATTGTGCGCCGCCCATGAGTCTCCCGGTCGCGGCCAGCTGCGACAGAGCCTGGATTCGAACCAGGATCTCTAGTGGCACAGTTAGCACTGCGATGCAGTGCCTTAGACCACTGCGCCACTCAGGAGCCATATGTGTGGGTGTGAGCAATAGGCAATATGCCTATTTTCTGTGTGTGCAAAGAGGGGCGTGAAATGTGTTAGACTAAATATATGTGTGAATTACTGTGCTCGCATAATGATTTGAGCGTTTATGTGTGTTTTCAATATGATACTGTAAGTGTGTGTAGGTGTAGTGTGTGTGTTCTTTTTCCACAGGCTGTCAGAGTCGTGCCGCTAAGTCTTTGGTAACTTACAGTGCCTGTGTTTTTTTAAGCTTTTGTTTAATTTCGACTTCCTGTTTTATTCTTGGCCTAATCCAAACGCAACACAGCTGTGCAGCCAGGCAGAGAGAGCAGGGGGAGGGTTGCCAGGTCCTGCTGTGATGAGCCATGCTTTGCAACTGCTCCCAGCAGATGGGAGGGAAAAAAGGGTGACAGCTTGGGCTTATCTCAGCTTTTATAGGCCAAATTGACCCCCATTTGATCATAATAGTGTTTAAATCTATATATTTAATGTAATATCTACCCCTCCCATTATTTTAGAGATACAGTGCTGTGAATGTAAGATGGTGAAGCCAGAGAGATTTAACGTTAAAGCAATACTATGAAAAACCCAGTATATTAGGGGAAGTCTTTCTCTTGGGGGATCGCTGTTTACTATACCATCAAGCTGCGTATGTATTTTATTTATCTATATATCACTGCGACGTGGGTTGCCAGCTTGAGCTGGATTCTTTCAGAGGCCAGTGTATTTAGCTTCAGTCTTTATTTGCCCATAGTGTGCTGAGGCATCTCACTGCTGGTCTCTCCCAAACCAACCCAGCACATTCATTATTAATCTAACATACCAGGGACTCTCTTTCTCTCTCCATCGCTCTAGCCAATTACAGTAATGCCCCACCGACTGCTGCCAGACTCATTCGCTGGCAAGCTGCGTCTTTGATGTCCATCAACATGAGGAGACCGGGGGAGCGACTCTTAATAGAGCAGAGGGGGAGATTATGTGACTGACTGTCCCTGGGGTGGGAACACTTTTTTTTTTACTTTATTTATATTATATTTTATTACCAGAGGACCCAGGGCTTTACCAGGGCTTTACTGTAGCCAGGGTCCTGCCTCTCTGTGCCTCCTATCACAGTGACATGGTACTTAATCCTGTTACTCTGTCATTTGGTGAGCCACCGAAGTGTGGGGAGCGCAGCAAGCTGCTTTACCCAGGCAGCTCTCTCTCTCTCCAGGGCTGCATCTCAATTATCAGGAAGTAATGCGGAGTTGGCTATCCTTCAGCTGCTGGGATGGAGAAGACCTGGACAAACAGACAAACAGCCCACTGCCATGATACTGATAGCTGGGTATGAAATCAACTGGTTATAGTTGAGAAAATTGGGATGCTGCCTGCAATGTCCATCTATTTGCACCCCTGCATGAAATGAAAGTCAAATGTGTCTGGGTTTTTGATCTAGTTGTGGTAATGGATAGATGCTGTTCAGGCTAGGGCCGGGATTCATTCTGAGCAGCGTTGGATCCGCCTTACAGCGCGATTGACATTTAAAGGTATTTTCTGATTAAGCCAACATATGCAGCATTTACCATGAATGTGGTATCCAGGAACGCAGGCACATTGCCTTTAAAGGTCCAATGCAGCCATTTTTATCTCAATATAAAATCATTTCTGGGTAACAATTAAGTATCTTACTATGATTGTTTTAATTAAAATGGTCAAAAATAAACAAAAATAGCTTCTTAGCAAAGAGCAATTTCTCAAGCAAGATTTTTGCTAGGACTGTCTGGGAGTAGTCTGAGTGGGGAGGGGAAAACTGAAAACTAGAATTTATTGGCAGAGAGGTTTGGAACTATTTCTGGTCTATTAACTAATTTACCGCCTGGTGATGTCACCAGGCAGGCAAAACTCCATCCCACCAAAACTGGCTGACATTTCAGGCGGTCTTTTCAAACAGCACTTACACAAAAAGGGAATTACAATTTTTATAATATTTTCCAACCTCAGTGTGGAAATACACTGAACAAAAATATAAACACAACATGTAAAGTGTTGGTTCCATTTATGAGCTGAAATAAGATCCCAGAAATGTTCAATACACACAAAGCTTATTTCTTTCTAATTGTGTGCACAAATTTGTTTACATCCCTGTTAGTGAGCATTTATCCTTTGCCAAGATAATCTATCCACCTTACAGGTGTGACATATCAAGAAGCTGATTAAACAGCAGGGTCATTACACATGTGCACCTTGTGCTGGGGACAATAAAAAGGCCACTCTAAAATGTGCAGTTTTGTCACACAACACAATGCCACAGATGTTTCAAGTTGAGGGAGGGTGCAATTAGTAAGCTGACTGCAGGAATGTCTACCAGAGCTGTTGCCAGAAATTGAATTTTCATCTCTCTACCATAAGCCACCTCCAACGTCGTTTTAGAGAATTTGGCAGCACGTCCAACCGGCCTCACAACCACAGACCACGTATATGGCATCATGTGGGCGAGCAGTTTGCTGATGTCAACGTTGTGAACAGAGTGCCCCATGGTGGCGGTGAGGTTATGGTATGGGCAGGCATAAGCTACGGACAACGAACACAATTGCATTTTATCGATGGTAATTTGAACGCAGATTCCCTGACGCCCTGAGGCCCATTGTCGTGCCATTCAGCCTCCGTCATCACCTCATGTTTCAGCATGATAATGCACGGCCCCATGTCGCAAGGATCTGTACACAATTCCTAGAAGCTGAAAATGTCCCAGTTCTTCCATGGCCTGCATACTCACCAGACATGTCACCCTTTGAGCATGTTTGGGATGCTCTGGTTCGGCATGTACGACAGCGTGTTCCAATTCCCGCCAATATCCAGCAACTTCGCACAGTCTTGAAGAGAAGTGGGGCAATATTCCATAGGCCACAATCAACAGCTTGATCAACTATGAGAAGGAGATGTGTCGTGCTGCATGAGGCAAATGGTGGTCACACACCAGATACTGACTGGTTTTCTGATCCACGCCACTACCTTTTTTATTTAATGTATCTGTGACCAACAGATGCATTCAGTATCTATATTCCCAGTCATGTGAAATCCACAGATTAGGGCCTAATGAATTTATTTAAATGGACTGATTTCCTTATATGAACTGTAACTGTAACTTAGAAATTGTTGCATGTTGAGTTTATATAACCCCCCCCACTGCAGATGGGGAGAAATCACCTAAATCATAAAACATCATGAACTTCCATGATGCAATTCACTCCAAAGACACCAGGAAGTCCTTTATGACAAATGATCCACAGGGTAACCCTGAGAGCTTAAGACATTGCAAAGCTTGTGTCTAAGAAAACATGAAATTGCATACATTTATTAGGGATGGGCGCTAACTTCCAATACATGCACACCGTGACAGTCCTTTAAATGTATATAAAGTGTTGACATTGCAAACACTTGTCTCCCTGCTGTTTTGTGTATTATATTTTTATTATTTTAGGATAAAAAACGGACAATTACATGGGATGCCTTGTTCTGCATAATTTAAACAGTACGGAAAGGAATGGCAATGCTTTAGACATCACAGACTCATAACCCAGCCCCTCCCCCAACCCACTGCCTGCATGCAGCTTCCACTGCACAAAGGCCAAAAGTCATCGTCGTGTGAGACAGCTTGCAAAGAGCACGAGAAGCATTCACAGTAAAGGAGGATGAGGGAAGAGGTGTGGTGGAGGGGGTAGAGAAGAAGAGAAGGAAGGAGAGAGAGAAGACAGGAAGATAAACAAAGTGACTGCAGCACTGGCCTTGGTTTCGACAGGAGAAGGAGCAGCATAGTCCTCCTGATTGTTACTCTTTTCCATTGTCTATGACACAAAAAAGTTTGTTTACATATGTATGTATGTATATATATATATATATATATATATATATATATATATAAACATTACAGCTACAGCACCTTCCCCCAACAACATCAATACCTCGCGCATGGTACACGGCCGTGCCAAAGAAAATAATCCTAAAAACAATATATTGGTCAGAATATTATTTTTTCTAAAATTGGCATTTGACATGATGCTCTGCTGCTGTTTTGGGGGAGGCATGGGAACAAAGGTTCTTCTTTTGAGTTCATATTCAAGTTTGCTCCTTTTTTTCTCTGGTGTACATCTTTTTTTCTTTGTGTTCCTGTTTTTTTTTTTTGTTCACACTTTTGTGATCTGCGTGTGCTGCTCCTCATCAAAAGGTTCGTTTTCCGGATCAGAGTCAGTGGTGTCGGAATATCGATAATGGTCAGGCTCGTTGTCGCTAACGTCCGGAGTGACGGATGTCGAAGTGCTCGCCTCAGAATTCGAAGAATCTTCCACGGTTTTCGTGAAATACAACTTCACCTAAAGGAGCGAGAGAGAGAGAGAGAGAAAGCCACAATATCAGAACAGGGAACCCAATGTTTCAATTTCATCAGGATTCTAATAGGGCAAAGACCAATTGATAGATTTACACAACAGATTTGTAGTACCTTCCTCATATTGTTAACCATTACAACCATGTTTAAATGGCTCACCTTGAAATTAGGTGAGAAGTAGCGGTTAGCTTTGTCTTTGTTGGCCTTGTCCAGGTCATTCTTGGTTAGCGCGAGGATGAGGTAGTCCCTGTCGCTGTCCCTGCCGCTGTCCCTGCGTTCAGCGCTCTGTGGTGCCTGGGGAGGGGTGCCAATCGTGGGCTGGTTCTGGACCCCGTCTACATCGTTCACAACCACCATCGACCCATTCTCCACCTTCTCCATGCTCTCCTCCAGTGGCCCGGGGATGAAGAAGGTGTTAACCCAGAAGTGGAACATCTTATCCTGGATAGTGGAGAGGGAGAGGTACTGACTAACTGTAATGGAGTCTGTCTGACAATTATTGAAGTTAATGCAGGCTTACAAAAAGCTAAACATTTAGAGTACATAAGTGTGAAAATCCTTACAGTTATTTATAGTAACATGCTACAATACATTTCCAGGTAAGCTAGCCAATTTTAACTTCAGAATGACGTTTATAACCATTGTTCATTAGGACTATCATGTATAATACTATAGGAGACGCACATAAAACACCCTTTATGATAAAATACCAGGCATTAACTATAATGGGTCAGCAATTGAAAACTCCATAACAGCTGAAGCCAAGGAAATCCAGTGGGAAACTAGAGACACTCGTGACGGGCGGAACTAACCAACCTTCTTCATCATTTTGTTTTGCTTGTGAAAGAACTCCACTTTGACATCTCCACAGACGGGCAGCGGCTGGGGAAACTCAAATAGCATGTGCTTTTCTTCCCTCCGCGTGTGAGCCGGGTTGGACGTGTGGATCTTGACTTTAAGTTGATACACCACAAACTGAGGATCTAAAGGGGTGAGTGTTTCAGAGACAGGGGGCAGAGATAGGGAGAGAGGTGGCAACGAAGGGTAATGGAGGTAGAGAGAACCAGACAAGACAGGATACAAGTCTTAGTAGTCTTGGAGTTGCTGCCATGTCCTCCTTGAAGGACAGTTACAAAAGCAACCCCTAGTTGTGAGTTCTCTAAAACCGTGTTTTCCAATATAGGAGAGAAGGAAAGAACCAGACCACAAAGGAGGAGAGAGGGAAATAACCAGACCACAAATAGCACCCAAAAAGAACCAGAACCAAAGACATGGGACCCCATTCTGATGACTGTCGCGCTTCCGTCAATAACAATAGCATTACATTTGTGAGAGTTTGAAACTTCTCATAAGGGGGTGGTTGGTTGGTCTTTGTCTGCCTCCACATTGCAATGATGTCTTAACACTACAACTCCTTCTAGCCTTGACTAGAATAAGTTCTACCTTTCTAGTTCTTGTTGGAATTGGGGCCAAATGAACAGTATATGAGGAAAGTACATCAAAACGGATGAAAGGCTCATTTACCCCAATGCCAATTCCCTTTCTTGAAGCCCTGAGGGATCGGCTCGCTCCTGTTTTTAACGGTACTGTCCCCTTAGAGAGAGAGAAGGAGATTAACACACAGCCTGGCAGGGCTGGCAGGCTGGGCCTTCAGAACACAGTAGGAACACTTCTAACGGTACAGATATATGATAGGATATCAATTATGTACATACACAGCCACACATCTAAAAACAATGCTTTCAAATGGAGATATCAACTTAAATCTAGTCAACAAGACTTGGGATATATGGTGCAATACATTAATAATTCACAGGAAAAAAAACATGTGGGAACTTCAAACTGTAGATATTTCAAGAGCATCTCAATTGACCATTAAAAATCCCAATGCCAGAAAGCTGCATTTAGCTTATTTAATTCTTAACAATGTGCGATGAATGTATTCACCAATGAGGAACCGTCTTATATGCTAGTCCATTGAAATGAGTTTCTCACCCAATACACTAGTGATGTGCGGGTTGACTCATAACCCGCAGTACCCGCAGTTATATCCGCGGGCGGGTTTAGGGTCATGAAATATTGTGTCGATGAAGGGCAGGTGGGTGGCGAGCGGGTTGAATAAAGGGAAAATGCATCAAAAATCCATAATTCCTGTGCAATTAATTTCTATAGCCTACATTGAGGTTTTCTTTCATTATTTTTATCTGGCATTAGTGCATAGTCTAAAGCTTTAGGGCCCAACACTGTAGCGTGCCAAATACACGGCAATTGCCAAATGCTTTTGGGAACTTGGGTAGAAAAAGTTCATGTTGATCGACTGAGGCAAAACTTTTTGGGGGGAGTTTAATTCAATAAGAGAAAAGCTGTGAAATGGAGAGTTGAAAAATAAATAGAACGGAGGGCAAGAACAATAGTCTAATGTTTGGGAAAGATTTGGTGAAGTGGTAGGAGAGGATGATAGCAGTGCCGGCCGGCTATGTTGTGTGTGATGATTGTGAGCCGCTATACAAAATTGACAGTCACAAGAGGGACTTCAAAATGGCACGTCAAGGGAACTGTACTGTTCATATTGGTTAAATGGAATAGTAGCCTAACTGAAATCTGGACACTGACTGTAGGTCTATAACCTCGCACATAGCCTAATATAATATTAGTGGAAAAATAGGATGTACAGTGAGGGAAAAAAGTATTTGATCCCCTGCTGATTTTGTACGTTTGCCCACTGACAAAGAAATGATCAGTCTATAATTTTAATGGTAGGTTTATTTGAACAGTGAGAGACAGAATAACAACAAAAAAATCAAGAAAAACGCATGTCAAAACTGTTATAAATTGATTTGCATTTTAATGAGGGAAATAAGTATTTGACCCCCTCTCAATAAGAAAGATTTCTGGCTCCCAGGTGTCTTTTATACAGGTAACGAGCTGAGATTAGGAGTACACTCTTAAAGAGAGTGCTCCTAATCTCAGTTTGTTACCTGTATAAAAGACACCTGTCCACAGAAGCAATCAATCAATCAGATTCCAAACTCTCCACCATGGCCAAGACCAAAGAGCTCTCCAAGGATGTCAGGGACAAGATTGTAGACCTACACAAGGCTGGAATGGGCTACAAGACCATCGCCAAGCAGCTTGGTGAGAAGGTGACAACAGTTGGTGCGATTATTCGCAAATGGAAGAAACACAAAATAACTGTCAATCTCCCTCGGCCTGGGGCTCCATGCAAGATCTCACCTCGTGGAGTTGCAATGATCATGAGAACAGTGAGGAATCAGCCCAGAACTACACGGGAGGATCTTATCAATGATCTCAAGGCAGCTGGGACCATAGTCACCAAGAAAACAATTGGTAACACACTACGCCGTGAAGGACTGAAATCATGCAGCACCCGCAAGGTCCCCCTGCTCAAGAAAGCACATATACATGCCCGTCTGAAGTTTGCCAATGAACATCTGAATGATTGAGAGGAAAACTGGGTGAAAGTGTTGTGGTCAGATGAGACCAAAATGGAGCTGTTTGGCATCAACTCAACTCGCCGTGTTTGGAGGAGGAGGAATGCTGCCTATGACCCCAAGAACACCACCCCCACCGTCAAACATGGAGGTGGAAACATTATGCTTTGGGGGTGTTTTTCTGCTAAGGGAACAGGACAATTTCACAGCATCAAAGGGACGATGGACGGGGCCATGTACCGTCAAATCTTGGGTGAGAACCTCCTTCCCTCAGCCAGGGCATTGAAAATGGGTCGTGGATGGGTATTCCAGCATGACAATGACCCAAAACACACAGCCAAGGCAACAAAGGAGTGGCTCAAGAAGAAGCACATTAAGGTCCTGGAGTGGCCTAGCCAGTCTCCAGACCTTAATCCCATAGAAAATCTGTGGAGGGAGCTGAAGGTTTGAGTTGCCAAACGTCAGCCTCGAAACTTTAATGACTTGGAGAAGATCTGCAAAGAGGAGTGGGACAAAATCCCTCCTGAGATGTGTGCAAACCTGGTGGTCAACTACAAGAAACGTCTGACCTCTGTGATTGCAGAGGGGTCAAATACTTATTTCCCTCATTAAAATGCAAATCAATTCATAACATTTTTGACATGCGTTTTTCTGGATTTTTTTTGTAGTTATTCTGTCTCTCACTGTTCAAATAAACCTACCATTAAAATGATAGACTGATCGTTTCTTTGTCAGTGGGCAAATGTACAAAATCAGCAGGGGATCAAATACTTTTTTCCCTCACTGTATTTATTTTAGCATCTTTAGAGAATGGATGTAAATGTGCTGTCTTTATCAGCATCATAAAAGCTGATAGTATTTCAACCACAAAATATGCATCCAAGCCGCCGCCCAAAAGAAATGTGTTTAGTAATTTTAACAGCTTTAAATGTCCTTAAAACCAGTCAAACGGATGTCATTAGTAAATGTTGTACTGAAAATCTTTTGGTTTTCTTTTGTTTTGTTGTTGAGTTATTGCATTTTCTCCCCGGTCCCTAAACATCTTTACAGCCTGAGAGAAGCAGAAATGAAAGAGAAAACAAACTTTACCGATGCCAACTAGATTGAATCATTCATTCTATCGATTTATGACATTCTGGTGAGAAGGGTTTATTTAGTCTTAGGGAAACAAGTAATGACAGAAGAGAAGCTGCATGTATCTATTTATAGACAAGTTGACTAACAAATAGCAAATGAGAAATAAGCAGAAACATGGGCCTATCTAAAAAGACCTGTCAAAACATTGTTTCGCCATCTGACGGTACAGCGCATTTTCTATATTTGGGTGCAGGCCTCAGATTTGACCTTTATCACATATAGTTGAGCGGTTGTGGATGGGTTTATTAGCAATTGCGGGGGTGGGGGGGGACAAACAGCTGACCTGCGCATCACTACAATCCACCTCAGCATTTAGCCAAGACTTTAGATTGAGTGCGAACCTGATGTTTTCTATCTTCGTAAAAAGAGAACGTCAAACTCAGAATAGGGCCCTCTCTAGGGAGTGTTAAAAGGGAAAGAGAAGGGTGAGTGCAGAGCAGTTGAACACATTCAGATGTTAGGTTAGAGCATCACAGAGAATTCAAGGAGGAAAAAGGTACATTTTGTGCAACAGTGACATATTGAGAAAACACCAAGAAGAAAGATGATCTGTGACTCGGGCACATTAAACCAGAAAACCACATTACTAGCTGGTTTTCATAATATGATCAAAGATATTCAAATCATTGTTTCAGCCAAGCAAATTACATGCAGTAGATGTACATGCGTAGTCATTCACATTCCATTAGATGAAAGACATGGGCTAGATCATTAGATTCAATTGAATAAATATCAGTGGTGAAAATGTCTACATGAGCTAGGAGTTGAAGGAACAAACATTGTGCAGACTTTCATTTTTTCATGTCTTTCTGAAAATCCCTGAACAAATAATTGCAGTTATTTTTCAAGAGCAAGTATTAAGAAAAAAACGTATAAAATATAATATCTGTAAGAGGTCCTTGGTGACTTGTTATTTAGACGTACTGAATTCATCCTCTGAACTGCAGAGCAAAACACATGTCACAATTTGGATAAAGCAGGTAGAAGCCAAACTTGCTGAATGCAGCTGAGAGTAGTGTCATCCATGTTCTCTTTCTCATCAATATCTAGCCATCTTTCTTAAAGAGTACAAGCAACTGGTCAAGAGCTTGGTTGGCTTCATTGTAAAGTACATAATATGACTCCATGCTCTCACCATTCTCTACTACCGTGGGTGGCCGTATGCACACTCAGTGCCTGCCAATCCGTTTAAAGAGCTACATGCCTACGCCCTGAGTCGGAGGTCAAGTTAAACATGAGCGACTCACTGCAGGTGCCTCCGCTGAACATTGGTAGCGTCTCAAACACCATTTTGTGGAAGAGGAGAGCCACAGGCTTGTAGTCCAGCTTATTCTTCAGCAGGTGGCTATAGTAGTACACATAGCGCCGTTGGCTTGGGATCGTCACTCCCTGAAAAGGAAAGACAACAAAAACAGTCAATGCTAGAAAATTAACTCAATTTAATAATTACCACAAAGAACAGGATATACAGATTGTGAAAATACGTATTGGAAATCCTGTGTAGCTCAGTTGGTAGAGCATGGCGCTTGCAATGCCAGGGTTGTGGGTTTGATTATTACGGGGGACTAGTACAAAAAATTATGAAAATGTATGCACTCACTACTGTAAATCGCTCTGGATAAGGGTGTCTGCTAAATGACTCAAATGTAAATGTAAAAATTAGATCACGGCAGGTCTATGACAAAACCCCGAAGATCTAGGCCTAGTCTGCATTTATAAAAATTCTCACACCGAGTACTAGCATCTAGTCTCCACTAGGGATGGGCACGGTTAATCAAATATCCGAACGGACGTTAGTATTCGATTACTTGTGTTCATTTTTTGAGATTTTTTTTTGGGGACAATAAAAAAAGCTTTATTATAACTTCAAATTATCATTGTGACATTATTACCTTTACGGATATCACCATGACATTTTAAATACCAAATTTTATAAAAACAAACTTTTGAATGTAGTTTCTGCTGTGCATTGACATTGGTGTGCTATTTTCCCCACTTCAAATAGCAATTACAGGCGCACACCTAACAGAGTTTCCACAATACCTGGCACAGACCAATGCAAAACATTCACCAGAAAACATTTTTGTAACAGAATCAGTTCTATCATGGCCGAAAGTCTGACTTCTCTTTCACTGTTGCTTTTAGTAAAAAATTTGCTGAGAAAAAAGCAGCCTATCCACTGTTCTCTGCCATGTGCATTTGCGTCATTCTGATAGGTCACTATCCGGATATCCGAAAAAAATGTATGATATTATTTGAATAGTGAAATAATGTTAAATGCCTAGTCTCCACCCATGGCAAGTCACTGTCACTGACCTTCTTGTCCCTTGTCCGCACTTCCCCGTAGAAGTCAAGTGCCTCCTGGGCGTCCTGGAACTTGCCACGATGCAGGAGGTAGGCGCAGATCATCACCCCGGTGCGGCCTTTCCCTGCCTTGCAGTGGATGGCTGCCACATGATTGTCATCCTCGCTCAGCCACTGGTCAAGGTCTTCACAGAACGGCTTGATGAGCTCTAGCTGAGGTGGGTTGTGGTCTTCAAAGGGGTATTGTGCAACTGGAGGGTGGAGAGAGATCGAGAGAGAGAGAAATATAAAGAGTACGTTTCCTTTCAGCAACCTGGCTCTAAAAACATTTTGTTTGTGATGGCGTACCTCTGCAGTTAAATTTGGCAGCATCGTAGTGTCGTTCTGCACAACTAAAATAGGAAGGATATTCAGTCAGCGGTCATGAAGGAGCAATTCATTTGTAAACAAACATTGATATTAGCGTGTAAGCGTTTTGCGGTATACTTACAGATTGTAAATCTTATAATGGTTTTTATGTTTAGAGTCAAGAAACCTGTTGAGGTAAAAGGTAAAGTTACATTCAAAACATTCCGTAACTACAGAAATTGACAACATAATGCATCTAATGAGAATGCAAAACACCTCAGGATACTTGGATTGTTTTGTCTAATGTTGGTCACAAACCACATTCCACACGCATTCATTACACAGTCCTCACCAGTTTAGGTCATGAGTGGCTGTTACTCACCGTACAACCTCGTCTATATTGTTTCTGTACACTCCTTCGAGTCGCTCTGCAGGAAAGCCCATAGCAATGATGTTTGGATAGATATCTGTGGTCACCATTGGGTCAAGGACACATACATAGAAGAAAATCCTATATACAGTCCAATCGGAAAGTATTCAGACAGCTTCCCTTTTTCAACATTTTGTTACGTTACAGCCTTATTCTAAAATGGATGAAATAAATTAAAAATCTGCAGAGAAGAATGGGAGAAACTCCCCAAATACAGGTGTGCCAAGCTTGTAGCGTCATACCCAAGACTCGAGGCTGTAATCGCTGCCAAACCTGCTTCAACAAAGTACTGAGTAAAGGGTCTGAATACTTATGTAAATGTAATATTTCCGTTTCTTATTTTTAATACATTTGCAAAAATGTATAAAAACCTGTTTTTGCTTTGTCATTATGGGGTATTGTGTGTAGATTGATGAGGAGAAGAAAAAAACAATTTAATCCATTTGAGAATAAGGCTGAAACGTAACAAAATGTGGATAAAGTCAAGGGGTCTGAATACTTTCCGAATGCACAGTATAGCTCATACAATACCAAAATCTCAAGCTTACGAGGCAATCCTATCACAATAAAATGTCTGAGGAAGATCATCATGACGTTTGTATCACCATGTGGGTGTCATTGTGCAGTAATGTACAGAAAGGGAAAGTACAGTGCAGGGCAGAAGGGTTGTGATCACTAGTATAACAGATGGCGTTGGCTGTGTGAGGGCGAGAGAGAGGCCGAGAGGACCGGAGCACTCCTAATCAAGCGGGGCCCACATGTGGGTACACTAGGAGAATTTACACAGCTTGACCTGCATGTATTTATAGAGCCCTAGTTATATTGAGATCGTCGCAGATGTTGGGCTTAACTCTCCTGCAGCCCCAGCCGAATCACATGGAATATTTAACAGATCAAATGTAAGGGTAATGAGGACCATGCTTGACGGACAAGAAAAGTATTTTGTTGGGATAAATGAGAATTGGTTATGGGGTTCATGGGGAAGAACAGTGAAACACACTGATGAGGTGACTTCAGCGACGAACAGGGCTCCAGGGTGGTCACATTTTGCCATCCTTTGACTTGAATTGTCAAGTTAAATTTTTATTTGGTCACATCGGCGCGAGCCGCAAATTCTATCTGGTTACTTCACTCAAAACATTCTATTTTGGGGTGGCTAAAAGCACAACTTGGTCAAACAGTAGCCTAAAGCAGGGTTTCCCAAAGTCGCATCTGCAATGATTGCATAGGCCTAGACATAACTGGGTATACTACGAAGTTATTAGCTGTTAGATTAACCAATTACATGGCTTACTAGCGGCATATTATATTCCTCAACCTAGGTAATGCATTTTAGAAGATAGCCCTATTTGGTAAAAGACCAAGTCCATATTATGGCAAGAACAGCTCAAATAAGCAGAGAGAAACGACAGTCCGTCATTACTTTAAGACATGAAAGTCAGTCAATACGGAACAATTCAAAAACTTTGAAAGTTTCTTGAAGTGCAGTCGCAAAAACCATCAAGCGCTATGATGAAACTGGCTCTCATGAGGACCGCCACAGGAATGGAAGACCCAGTTACCTCTGCTGCAGAGGATAAGTTCATTAAAGTTACCAGCCTCAGAAATTGCAGCCCAAATAAATGCTTCACAGAGTTCAAGTAACAGACACATCTCAACATCAACTGTTCAGAGGAGACTGTGTGAATCAGGCCTTCATGGTTGAATTGCTGCAAAGAAACCACTACTGAAGGACACCAATAAGGAGAAGAGACTTGCTTGGGCCAAGAAACACGAGCAATGGACATTAGACTAGTGGAAATTTGCCCTTTGGTCTGGAGTCCATATGTGAGATATTTGGTTCCAACCAAAAGACACGGTGTGGATGAATGGATGATCTCTGAATGTGTATTTCCCACTGTAAAGCATGGAGGAGGAGGTGTTATGGTGTGGGGGTGCTTTGCTGGTGACACTGTCAGTGATGTATTTAGAATTCAAGGCACACTTAACCAGCATGGCTACCACAACATTCTGCAGCGACACGCCATCCCATCTGGTTTGGGCTTAGTGGGACTATCATTTGTTTTTCAACAGGACAATGACCCAACACACCTCCAGGCTGTGTAAGGGCTATTTTACCAAGAAGGAGAGTGATGGAGTGCTGCATCAGATGACCTGGCCTCCACAATCCCCCAACCTCAACCAAATGATGATGGTTTGGGATGAGTCGGACCGCAGAGTGAAGGAAAAGCAGCCAACAAGTGCACAGCATATGTGGAAACTCTTTCAAGACTGTTGGAAATTCATTCCTCATGCCAAAAGTGTGCAAAGCTGTCATCAATGCAAAGGGTGGCTATTTGAAGAATCTCAAATATAAAATATATTTTGATTTGTTTAACACTTTTTTGGTTACTACATTATTCCATGTGTTATTTCATAGTTTTGATGTATTCACTATTATTCTACAATGTAGAAAATAGTACAAATAAAGAAAAACCCTTGAATGAGTAGGTGTACACTACCGGTCAAAACATTTGACAGGTAGTGTACGTTAAACTACTCTACTAATTTCTGTCTGGAGGACAAATGTCAACCATATTATGTGTGATCATGTCCATATCAACTTCAATGTCATATCTCTCAAAACATTATTGAATTGACTTGCACATCTTCTCAACTCCTACCTGTAACTGCCATTCTGAAGCCTGTCTGCCTACATAAGCTGTGGGATTTTGCACTTTAACCACTGACGAAAGGGCACCCTTTTGTACAGTTCCTGTGTCACAGTGTCAGAAATAGAAAGGTTGAACAGCTGTAATGGAATACGCCTGTTTTCTTCTAGAATAAGTTATTTTGGAGCAAATCATTTTTGGAGCAAATAATTGTAAAACTGGTGTCCAAGATTTGACACGCCACTGACGACTCTGGTGAGAAAGGTGAAGACTTGACTCCCTCTAACTGCATCTAATTTCTGCATAATGCATGCACACAAACACACAGTACTATGGCAGTATCTGTAGATGTGATGAACACATTTGCCAAGATCCAATGTAACTTGACCAAAATTCGAACGAAACTAGCAAGAATATGATGCCCTTAAAAAGAGAGTACTTATGTCAGATAGGTGCAGTTCCTACCAAATTCCAGGTATGCCATTAAAATTCAAGAGGAACACAATACATTGCATTAATTCAATAAAACACAGCAGCGATTTTATTAAAGTATTTGCATAATGCCAAGCTACTTCCCTGTGGCCTTCAGCATATGAGCCTGTCTATTACGTACAGGAACATAATAATTTCCATTAATGCCTCAAAGACCTAATTAGGAACCAAATGCAGGCCGTTCTATACCACATAATGGGTTACAACCTCCGCCTCTGCCTTTGGTCCTACTGGCAAAATCATTCCACTCAGACTATTTTAAGTGTTTTTAAAAAGTTCCAGAGCTCCCAGGGGAGCTACAACCCAGGGCACAGCGGGCTCGGCATTCTGCAGCTGGGAGGAAACGCACATGCAGGACCCCTGATGGAAGGTCCTCTAAAAGCCGGACATTTCAGGCACACCTTTTCTCTCTGGTCTTTTCAGCTGTCCTGCCTCAGCTCTGTGCTCTAGCTAACTCCACGGCTGGGCACCAGAAAAAAAGAGAGAGTAGAGGGGGAGAGAGTTGAAAAGAGAAAATGAGAGGAGTAGGCAAGAGAGAGCGAATGATATGGGAAGGGTGGGTAAGAGTAGAGGAGAGAATGTGGGGAAGAGAGCAGGAAAGAAAGAGTGCTATGGAAAGGTGGTGGGTTAGAGATGGGGACTCAGGCAGCATTGCTGATACAAGATCACTGGTGCTCTATTCTAAGGATTATTCCCAGAACTCCGATACTGCATTATAGGGATGTTAATGGTTAACGGTTAACCATTAACCATTAATCGGTTAGCTGCCGAAAATACATTTGAACGGTCATGCTTATCGGTCTATATGTTCATTTGAATAATTTTGTGGAATTCAATTGGTGTGTGTATTTTCGTTAGTCGTCATGTATCTTATCACACATGCACAGCATACAGAGCCTAGTTTGAGGAGCGGAATGGCCTATCACCTATCAGACAATGCGAGAGCAGACCCTTAAAAAAAGCTGGTACTGGAATTAAACATGCTTTTATAAGCACAGTCATTATGCAACAAATTATTCTAAATGCAATCACGTGTTTAAAAAACTGTTTTGATGGCCACAATTAAAAAGAGGCACTATTTTTATTTCTCAATCTCAGTGCGCCTCCCATTTGCGTGCATAGGCTATAGTCAACGGTAGGCAGCCTATCAGCTCGTCACCCACCGCTTTGCAATGTGAGCTTAAGGCAGTATAATTGTTTGAAACCTGAAAATTTTACTTTACTTCAAATAATGAGGAATGTCTTACCTTGCTTCAAATTAGCCTAGCCAAAATCCAACCATAGAAACATGGAGGCAATTATTTATAAAGACTTCCTCATGCCATTAACCAGCATTTCTCTCCTGTTCTATTGGTTTTCATAACTTTCTTTCTTTGTCCAGAAGCCAAAGGCACAATCATAATCATATTAGCAACCCATCCTAGTTGTTGCTATTAGATTCCCCCTCTTTTTAAGTTTCTAATGGAGATGTTCATCTCCGTCACATATGGAACCTCTCGCATTAGGTGCGCTGTATAGAACGGTGTTCCCGCGAATTGCATTTTGGCAAATGTTTGAAAATAAAGTTGTATTAAATGCTTCACTACAGCTGTTGAATGTTCAATAATAGCCTATAGCCTTTAGACTGTAAGACGAAGGGCTTGCTATTGTTGCCTATTTTCATTAAGCTCGTAATGAAATATGTCAGTTCCTTGTATGCACGCATAGTATTTTCTGTTGGTCACGTCATTTTCCTGTTTCAATGTTTTTTGTTTGTTTATTGACTGGTTAACCGAAATGTGCATCCCTACTGCATTACATAACTGCAAAGAGCCCATATTGTTTTAAGACACCATGCCAAATTCGATAAAAAATAAGTTAAAGAGCCTGAATTTAGATAAGCAGAGAGGGGACTCACGCTGATTGGCTGCTGCTCATCATCAACAGAGAGGAATCACTGAGGTTGAATGACACACCCCTCTCGCGTCCATCTCACAAGCAGAAAATCCTGCAGAAGCTGACAAATCTGATATCAATATCTCAATAACACCATCTTTACACGATTAGCCTGTTATCCATTAATCAGTGGTTTCAACAACTGAAAAGGGGGCAGGGAATAATGACAAACTGAGTTTTATTTACATAAATGCCTTTCTCCAGTGAGTTGTGTCCATTCAAAACAGAATAGTGGCATTTGACACTTTCAATGTGGGGTAAGCTTAATGCTCAGACAGTGACCAGTTTTCATATTAGTAATTGGTCACATGTATCAATTTTAAAACAAGATAGAAAAGTAAAGCAAGAACCATCAAGCACTATGATGAAACTGGCTCTTATGAGGACCGCCACAGGAAAGGAAGACCCAGAGTTATCTCTGCTGCAGAGGATAAGTTCATTAGAGTTACCAGCCTCAGAAATTGCAGCCCAAATACATTCTTCACAGAGTTCAAGTAACAGACACATCTCAACATCAACTGTTCAGAGGAGACTGCGTGAATCAGGCCTTCATGGTCGAATTGCTCCAAAGAAACCACTACTAAAGGACACCAATATGAAGAAGAGACTTGCTTGGGCCAAGAAACACGAGCAATGGACATTAGACCGGTGGAAATCTGTCCTTTGGTCTGATGAGTACAAATTTGAGATTTTTGGTTCCAACCGCCGTGTCTTTATGAGACACAGAGTAGGTGAACGGATGATCTCCGCATGTATGGTTCCAACCGTGAAGCATGGAGGAGGAGGTGTGATGGTGCTTTGCTGGTGACACTGTCTGTGATTCATATAGAATTCAAGGCAAACTTAACTAGCATGGCTACCACAGCATTCTGCAGCGATACACCATCCCATCTGGTTTGCGCTTAGTGAGACTATCATTTGTTTTTCAACAGGACAATGACCCAAAACACACATCCAGGCTGTTTTAAGGGCTATTTGACCAAGGAGAGTGATGGAGTGCTGCATCAGATGACCTGGCCTCCACAATCACCCGACCTCAACCCAATTGAGATGGTTTGGGATGAGTTGGACCGCAGAGTGAAGGAAAAGCAACCAAAAAGTGCTCAGCATATGTGGGAACTCCTTCAAGACAGTTGGAAAAGCATTCCTCATGAAGCTGGTCGAGAGAATGCCAAGAGTGTGCAAAGCTGTCATCAAGGCAAAGGGTGGCTACTTTGAAGAATCTAAAATATATTTTGATTTGTTTAACACTTTTTTGGTTACTACATGATTCCATGTGTTATTTCATTGTTTTGATGTCTTCACTCTTATTCTACAATGTAGAAAATAGTACAAATAAAGAAAAACCCTTGAATGAGTAGCTGTGCAAACTTTTGAATGGTACTGTACATCAATATGGTCTCTACATTATAATACTGCATAGCCTACCACAACCAGTGGTTTCAAACAGACTGTGAGACAAGTTGTTTTGATTTGCTCAGGCACACAAGTAACTGAACAAATGCCTCACTAAACTGTCACAGGTATCGCCATTAGGGTGAACACCTTCCTACCACACCATAGATAAAAAGGAGTGTACAGGCCATTACAGTCCCTAGATTTATGGCAAAGTGCACAGAAAACTGCTACAAATAAACATTGTGCACATTACTCATGTCAGAGAAAACTATAGAATTAACACAATCCGTGTCCACCCTTCCCACCATCTCTCCCCCATTTGCCTGTTTCAATAGTGTCAAAACACCTTAAAATACATCCATTAAAAAAACACAACCAGGTAGCAGACGATAACTTGACTTCTGATGTTGGCTTGTAAGCCAGGCTTCACCAGTCGTTACTCTGCTACAGCATTTTACAGTCCCGAACCTATTCCAAGAACACACCCGTATGGTGCACTCCCATAAACTTGTCTTCAATATCAGAGCCAGGTTAGCCAGGTCTGAGATGTGCTGCAAGGGACTACCAATCTCATCACCAGCATACTATGGGTTAACAAAATCGATATAGGCCTAGATCACAAACATCACTTGACAGAATACATGAGCATGTTCTGAAGTTAACCTCAATAAATTAACAATATCCAATCATGCAGATTCCATTTTGACTTTATTTGCATTAGATCTTCTCAATTTAAGAATTTTCAGGCAGTGCTGCATCAGTGTGAATGTTATTTGTAAAAAGTATATAGTGATTCATTGGAAAGTTAGACATCGAAAATTGGCATATTGAATTAATAATTTGCATAAAGATAACATGAACTGAATTTAGGCTCTTTTGGCATTAGCTAGTTTTCTTCAAATGGTTTTTAACCAAGGTTGCCAGATATGTTACCTATACCCTAAGGGAACCTGGGTTAGATAGTTTGCTAGGTAGCTAGAATTATGCCTCATGTCATCTAAGATAAGAAAACACTGATACAGCAGCAAACCAGCTTCCATGCACTGTCAAATAAGTCAAGTTTTACTGTAGCAAGCAAACCAAATGTTAGTTTAGATTACAGAAGGTTGGCTAACATTAGCTATCTAATGGCAAAGAAGTAGTCATGTCTACATGAACATATTGTAGCCAACAACGTTTAGTGTAATATTGACTGGCTGCTAACCTGAAACTAGCTAGCAAGCTAAATTGGTCAAATAATGTGTTGGCTAATGTTACTTCTAACACAACTTAGTGACTTCAGAAAGTATTTATACTCCTTAACTTATTCCACATTTTGTTGTGTTACAGACAGAATTCAAAATTGATAAAATGTATATATTTCTTTCACGCAATACCCCATAATGCCAAAGTGAAAACATGTTTTTAGACATTTTTGCAAATGTATTGAAAAAATGAAATACAGAAATCTAATTTACATAAGTATTCACACCCATGAGTCAATACATGTTAGAATTACTTTTGCCAGCAATTACAGTTTAGTCTTTCTAGGTACTTTCCAAGAGCTTTGCAAACCTGGATTGTACAATATTTGCACATTATTATTTTTTAAATTCTTCAAGCTCTGTCAAGTTGGTTGTTGATCATTGCTAGACAGCCACTTCCAAGTCTTTCCAAAGATTTTCAAGCCGACTTACATCAAAACTGTAACTAGGCCACTCAGGAACATTCAATGTTGTCTTGGTAAGCAACTCCAATGTATATTTGGCATTGTGTTATAGGTTATTGTTCGGCTGAAAGGTGAATTTGTCTCCCAGTGTCTGTTGGGAAGCAGACAACCAGGTTTTCCTCTAGGATTTTGCCTGTGCTTAGCTCTATTCCTTTTATTTTTATCAACAACAAAAAAAACTCCTTGCCGATGACAAGCATACCCATAACATGATGCAGCCACCACCATGCTTGGAAATATCACTGAGTACCACTAATGCGTTGTGTTGGATTTGCCCCAAACGTAACGCTTTGTATTCAGGACAGATTTCATTTCTTTGCCACATTTTTTGCCATTTTACTTTAGTGCCTTATTGCAAACAGGATGCATATGTTTTGGAATATGTATATTCTGTACAGGCTTTCCTTCTTACCACCCTGTCATTTCAGTTGGTATTGTGGAATAACTACGTTGTTGAACCATCCTCCGCTTTCTCCTATCACAGCCATTAAACATTGGCCTTATGGTGAAATCCCTGAGCGGTTTCCTTCCTTTTGGGCAACCGGGTTAGGAAGGACACCTGTATCTTTGTGGTGACTGGGTGTATTGATACACCATCCAAAGTGTAATTACTTCACCATGCTCAAAAGGGATGGATATTCAATGTCTGCTTTTTTATGTGTACCCATCTACCAATAGATGTCCTTCTTTGCAAGGCATTGGAAAACATCCCTGGTCTTTGTGGTGGAATCTGTGTTTGAAATGTACTGCTCGACTGAGTGACCTTACAGATAATTGTATGTGTGGGGTACAGAGATGAGGTAGTCATTAAAAAAACACTATTAGTGCACATAGAGGGAGTCCTTGCAACTTACGTGACTTGTTATGAAAATGTATACTCCTGAAACTATTTAGGCTTGCCATTACAATGGGTTGAATACTTATTGACTCAAGACATTTCAGCTTTTCATTTTTTATTAAATTTGTAAACATTTCTAAAAACATAATTCCACTTTGACATTATGGGGTATTGTGTGTAGGCCAGTGACAATCTCAATGTAATAAATGTTTTTTATTCAGGCTGTAATAACAAAATGTGGAAGAAGTCAAGGGGTGTGAATAATTTCTGAAGGCACTGTACCTGATAATGACAACTTGGTAGCTAGCTGTTAACTAGCTAGCAAGTGGGGCTAACTAGACGGATAAGAGCGTCTGCTAAATGACTAAAATGTAAATAACGAGTTTGAGTAACTAGCTAACGTTCGCTAGTTACTGGATGTCATACTAGCTTCAGAGACTTATACGTGCTCATTTGACAGATCCACCATATTTCAAAACATGCTTTCCCGTCTTATCAAAAACATTAGTTAGCTAGCAATCATTGCTATTGAATTGATACAATATGCATACTCACGTGACTAGTTTACTGTATGATAAACTAACGTTAGTTATTTAAGAAAAGGATACACGTTAAGTCCAAGTCGAACCCATCCTCCTGGTATCTCCTTTTGTTCCGGCTGACCATTTCTTTTATCTTCGCAGCCATTGTAGCTAACTTAGTGACAGGAGTCTCTTTATGGTTGTAAAATTACGAAAAAGTATCGTTGCTTTGCCTCTCAATCGCCCTTTGCGCTTTTGATTTTGCAGCTCCTGTCTCGCAATGACAAGCTAGCAGTGGTAGTCGTTGTGAGTAGGATTAACTAGCTAGATAGAATGTCTTCTTCTCTGGATCATAAAGACGGGCCTTGCTCTGCTCCTCCGCGCAGGCCCAACTTTCCCAATCCTGGAATTTGTTTGCAAATCCTCCCTGAAAAAGACATACAATTCTCCTCCCGCCTAACCATATGGTATAAGAGACGGTCCGAACCTCTTGATCTACCGTAGCCGCCGTGATTGACCGGACAGCGAGGAGAGAAAACTCTCCGACGCTCGAATTTGAAGACTAACGTTACCCTGGGAAAGCACAGCAACAGTATCCACTCGTAGCTAGCAAGCTACTGTAACTAGCTAGCTAACGTTACCCCCCTTTTTTTTTATTATCCCAAAACCTCCTAGCGAATCAACATTGTCGTCGATTGTTAGCCAAAATACACCCGAAAAAGTGACAGGCTCCACCGTGCATTTATATTGGCTATACAGGAATCAAATATATGCACAGATTCGTTTGACAGATTGCTATGTCCCGGGGTTCATCTTCTTTTCGCGTTTCTCTCCAGCTGAATTCTCAAGCTCCCATCATGGCTTCCAACCGAGGAAAATATGTAGAGCAGGCTAGGTTTTTAAAAGAAATATCTTACCGCCGCAAATATATAGTTCTAGAGCGAAATCAAAAACAGTTTCTTCCTATCAAATAAATCATTGTTGATTCTCAGAATAGCTATTTATTTGCAAAAGTTTTATGTCGTAGTCAGTGTATTGGCAATTTACGTTTTTTGTAGTCGGCTAGTTCTTTTGTTGGCAGCGGAAGGACACAATCAGAGCGCATACAATTCTCTGTCAATGTGATCACGTGTCTTTGTAATTAGGGAAGTTTCCAACGTAATGTCACTTTTCTCGGTTTAAATTAGGTTATGCTATTTCAGTTTGACTGACAAGCATATCTGTTCATGTCATATAAAACAATTGAGAGAAGTCGGATACACCATCATTTTAGTATACTATTTCTAATGTCCTTCTAGTTTACCTTATTGAATTTATCCATGGAGGCCAATTACCAGAGGTGGGACAAAGTCATTGTTATGCAAGTCACAAGTAAGTCTCAAGTCTTTGCCCTCGAGTCCCGAGTCAAGTCGAGTCAAAGATGAGGCAAGTCCCAAGTTGAGTCAAAAGTCAAAGCCATCAAGTCTCAAGTCGAGTCCAAAGTCCTACCATTTTAGTTTCGAGTCATTTCAAGTCCTCTTACCACAGAAATAAAATGTATACAAATCATGTATGTCTGTAAGATTTGTATTTATTTAAACCTTTTTATACAATAACATTAATCAAATACAGCAAAAAACATAACATTTAATTTTCACAAAAAAAATGCTTGTATTTGAACAGCATATTGCACTAGAACAATGCAGAGAGAGAGAGAGAGAGAGAGAGAGAGAGAGAGAGAGAGAGAGAGAGAGAGAGAAAATGGTTTACGGGGAAGGACAAACACCAAAGCTCTGGAAGTAAAAACAGTGTGGGAACCTGCACTGCAAATGAACAGATCTTACTCCATGTGAAACTCCTACCACAGGAGAGAGAGAGCTGTGTGGACAGGTGATGAGCAGAGAGTGAGTGTGTGTGCGCGCATGCGTGCTGTGGACAGGTGGAGGGAGGCCCCTATACTGCATTGCATTTGCAAAAGATCAAATTGGCCAAAAGTCTGTCAGTCATTTGTGCACGATGGGGACGCAGAATGATGCCACCATGGCTGAAAACTCGCTCCACTGGAGCACTAGAAGCAGGCACTGCCAAGACTCGGATGGCTACTTGAAAGAGTGAAGGAAGAGTCTTACTGTTCAGTGCCCAGAACAAAAGGGCATTCTGTCCTTCTGCCATGTCAATGTAGTGACTTAGCTGTACTGCTGGTGGGGTCCCAACATCCCTTTTCTGCCTCTTATGGTATGCAGCAAACAGCCCTTCTCCTTCCATGTCCTCTAGTTCTTCTTCAGCAGGCACCGGCACAGGCTGCTCTGTCTCTGCAGCATCTTGCAGGATCAATTCTAAAAATAAAAATAAAAACGTGTCACAACAGCAGAAACAAAAGAGCCCTTATTTCTGATGTTGATGATACTGTTCAAGACTGAAATTTTTTATTATTGTTAAAGTCAGATTAATATCACATTAGATCCTATATCAGATTAAGATCAAATTATTGTACGTTGCATTTAAGTTGCATTGCAAGTCAATAATATTTACCTTTAACTCGTTGTGCCACCTCTGCCTTGATGTCACGGTTGACCAGCACATGGGGCTCAATCCACAGCAGACAAAAGGCTGGATCCAAGGCAGCTGCTTTCAGGTAGACTGTGTCTGAAAAGGGGGCAGTGATCCCTTCTTGAGACTGGGCCATTTTTACATTAATGAAGATCCCAAGAAATCTTTTTTTCAGGGATGCCTGCAGACCTCTGACCAGGCCACTCAGGAAACGAACTTGAGGCTTCAGCTTCTCAAGATGGTGATTGAGGGACAAGATGGATGGAACAACTGCACTGATTGTAATGACTTTCTCCCCCTGTGTCAAATCAGTTGCTTCTCCGAACGGTTTTAAGATGTCCACCAACTCCTTCAGCAGATTCCACTCTCGTGGTGTGAATGACAGTTCTTTATGCCCGGCCTTCTCAAGAACTGCGCAGAGCTTTTGCTGATCACAATGAAGGACTGCTTTTACCTGCCGCAGTGTGGAATTCCACCTCGTGCTCACTGCAGCAGGGATGCCTCTGTGCTCCCCAAATTCACCATCGAAGATGTCTTTAAACGTTGTGCTTGTGTGGAGCAGGGAGCTAAGTTTTGATAACTTGGAGAGAGAAGGACATGCCGCTTTTGTTTCTTTCAAACCGTCTCCCACAACCAGCTGCAATGTGTGTGCAAAACACTGCAGGCGCTGTTTCTTTGCCATAGCAGCATCGACGGTTTGCTGGTCTTCTTGGGTTAAGTCATGCCATAGCTCAGGATCATCAAGATTATCTCCAGCATCTTCATCTTCCTCCTGTTCGCTGGGGAAGCAGACTGTAAATGCCTTGCGCATGTTAGCAGCATTGTCACTAATTATATAGTCCAATTTAGCTTTGATGTTGTATTCATCACATATTGCCTCAAATTGGTCACAGATTCGCTCTGCTGTGTGAGAGCCTTTGAAGCGGTTGCAGGCCAAGAGATTAGTCTTTAGCTGTACCCTCTCTGCATCTCGCTCCATCCAGTGCACAGTGACACCAAGGAATCCCCTCATCTTTCGATCAGACCAAATGTCCACAGTGACTGAAACATGGTCAGTGTTGCTCAATTGAGTTTTTAACTTTGACCGTCTCTCCTCAGCAAGGCTCTCTGTTTTTGTGGTCAGCGTTCGGCGACATACTGGGGTATACTTGCTGTCCAGCACAGCCAGAAAGTGACGAAAGCTCTTATTTTCCACAATAGACAGAGGGAAATTGCAATCAATAATCAAGTCAGACAGTATCGCATTGGAGATGGCCTTCTGCTGTGGGTGGGTCAGGCTGTAACGCCCTACACGAGTGTAAAGGAATTGTGAGATTGAAGGCTGTTGTGGTTCATCTACGATGATTTTGTTCATCTGGTATTCTTCATACCTGTAACAGAGAAGAATATGAAACAGATGTCAGAAAATCCTTTACAGCCACACATGTTGTATTTGAAACTACTCTTTACTCATATCAATGTTGTTGTGTTAATATTCATTGCCTATTGTACACTACGGTTTACGATAATACATTTCAGTGTCAGTGTATGCAATATTAAAAATATTTTCACTGCTTCAAAATTCATAAGAAAGCCCTTTCCCTCAAGAAACTGAAGTCATATGCTTTATAGCAGTGGTTTTCAAAGTGGGGACGGGGACCCTTGGGTGCCGCGAGGGGGTTCTAGGGGGGCCATGGCAAGTTGGCATGAAAAGTATAGAAAAACAAAATAATTGAATAAATTAAATAACTAAAGTAAACCAAATTAAACCAAAAATAAGCTAAACAATATTCCCATTAGTTAAGAACTGCACTATAATAATCTATTGCATCTCTGAACATTACTACTATAATCGTTATTATTTTATTATATACTGTATATATCCCAGTGGTGCGCTGCCTCACAGACCTACTGTAGACTACGGTAGCACTCTGTCCATGCGCTGTCTGCTGTTTGGGCATGATATGAAAAGGGAAGGCTAATGGTGGATCTACTGTGACTGTGTTATCATTTTCCTCTTTACAATGTATACGTCTTACTATGTTTCCTGTTGTACTTGGATGGGTTTAGGGATGCACCAACTACATCCGAGTTGTGAAAGGGGGTGCATTCATTGTTTAATTGTGATATTTTGTCTTCAGCGACAGTTCAGCTTAGTTGTGATTAACCAAAATTACATAAACGACCTCAATGAGGCAGCACACCAGCAACTCTGAAACTGAATTCTAAAACGCTTAACGTGAAAAACGCTTAACGTTGCTTAATGCTTAATATACTAAGACAGTAATATTATAAGACCAAACTCTGCAAATATCATATTAATAAAGCATACTATGTACAAAACATCAGATGAGCCCAGAATACATAGTAGCCTACATAAGACATGTTAAGCCTTTTCTTATAATGGTTTTCTATGGGAGGAAAACACTTAACGTGTTGTTAAACGTGTTTGCGTTCATATTCTGGCCTCATCTGATGTTTTGTACATTTAGTATACTTTATTAATATGATATTTATAGTTTGGTCTTTTAATATTACTGTCTCAGTATATTAAGACACGTTAAGCCTTTTCTTATAATAGTTTTCTATGGGAGGAAAACGCAACGTGTTATTAAACGTGTTTGCGTTCATATTCTGGGCTCATCTGATGTTTTGTAC